AACTGTGGCTTAACCTAATTCCTCAGAGACCTATGCTGTGTCTAAGCACCGCTCATGAACGTGCTTCTCAGTTTTGTAGTGGCCAGTGTCAAAGGGAAATCCCCTTCACAGTAAACCAGTGGTTCCCAGGCTTTGCTGGATCTCGGCCTGCCTGGATGCCAGAGGCCCTCTACAACTTACCCTAGTTAGATCTCCTCATGAGGGCTTTGTTTTCACAGTGTGTGTGTGTGTGTGTAGGCATGTAGATGTGTCAGTAGGTTTGTATGCACGCTTGTGTAAGTGTGGTTTTAACCAGCCTCACTGCCCCTTGTGAATCACTGACACAATGCACGTTCCTGCATCAAATAGAACATTCTGTCAGCGTTTACCAGATAATGCATACTGGATAAAATGCATAAGTAAAATGCAGACAAGAGAACATATTATATATATATATCTATTAACATGGAAGTCTATGAAACGAGGCTCTGGTGGCTCAATGGTTAAGGGCTCAGCTGCTGACCTAAAAGTTGGCGATTCGAACCCACCCAGAGGCTCCACTGAAGAAAGACCTGGCGATCTGCTTCCATAAAGATCATAGCCAAGAAATCACTATGAGACCGTTCTATTCAGTCACATGGGGTCACTATCAGTCGGAGTAGACTCAGTGGCACCCAACAACAACGACAACACAAAAGACAAGTCCAATTTATAGTGACAGAGAAGCAGGTGTGGGCAAGAGTGAGGGTGGGTGACTGGGAAGGGGCACGAGGGCAGTTTTGGGGTTATGGAAATATTTCATATCTTGATTGTGGTGGGTGGTGGTCAAAAATATGTCAGAACTCATTGAAGTAGGTATATAAATTAGTAAGAACTCACTGAAATGTATACTTAAAATGGCTGCATTTGATTCTATGCAAATTATTATTTCAGTGAAGTGGATTTTTTGAAAAAATGGACAAGGAATCATGGTGAGAGTGGGATGATGACGGTGCCAGTGCACCCGGGTTTTGTATATCACGGGCATTTTCCCAGTGAGGGGGGTGTGTATTTTCTTTGTGCTTAAAATGTTTGCCTCATAGCTCCCTTGTTGTGGTTTTTCATCCATGCCAGCAAGGGTGCAATCAGAGGGCTAATTTTAAACAACTTACAAAATAAATTGCATTATTCTTTGTAGTATTCTTTGCCCATTTCTTTAGGATTGATTGTAGTTAGTCTAGCCTGGAAATGCCTTCCTTGGTGAAGATGAACCTCAGAATAAAGCTGCTGCACTCTGGATTTGCGGCCAAGGCCTTTCTTTGGTGTGGAAAGGCTAGGCTAAAGACGGTATTTTTGTTTTTCTTTTTTTCTCTCAAAAAAAAAAAAAAAGCCAAAGCGACATTTTTCTTTTCTAATGTCTGGTGGGCTCCTGGTGGTTGACTACAGTTTAGCAAAAGTATAGTAGAATTAACTGAAGGATTTCTGAGAAGAGAGGATTTGAAGCAGTGTAGTATAGAACCACCAGCAGCTCCGCAGGAGAGAGATGTGGCAGTCTGCTTCTGTAGAGGTTTACAGCCTTGGAAACCCTATGGAGTTGCTATGAGTCGGAGTCAACTTGACGGCAGTGGATAATGGGTAGTATAGAACATGGGTCTGGAATCAGACCTGAGTTTGGTTCGACTCTGTTGCTTACCTATGTAACCACGGGCAAGTTACATAGCTCCTCTAAGCCTCAGTTTCCTCATTTTAAAATGAATATGATCATAGAATCTTTGTAAAGGGTTGAGTAGGAAATTAACTGAAATAATGCTTGTACAACCTTTAGCACGATGCGTCATACATAAATGCCAGATTATATGCTATTCTTTCATTCATTCAACAGATATTTATGCATTTACTATGTAACAGGCATTGGGTTAGATTGTTGAACAAAAATAGATGCTGTCACTGCTCTTACGTTATTTATAGTCTAGTGGGAGGGTTGGGTACTAATGAGATCAAGCCAGGTGTTGTATACCACTATGGTGGGTGCCAGGTGTTCCATGAGAACATAGACCAAAGAGAACCTCCCATTGATGGGGCTCAGGGAAGATTTTGTTGAAGACATGATGGCTGCCCTGAGATCTGAAGGATGGGTAGGTATGTGGTGGTGGTTGGGGTGTTTTGAGCAGAGGGAAAAGCATATGTACCGCTGCCATCCAGGAACTGAAGGAGGGCCAGCCTGGCTGAAACAGGGACCGAGAAGAAGAGTGATGGAGAGTGAGCCTGGAGAGGTAGGAAGGGGCCAGATTAAGCAAAGCCTTGTAGGCTATATTAATAATTTTGGTATTTATGCTACGAGCCATTGGAAACTATTGAAGGGGTTTAGGCAAAGATGAGCATTTGTGTGTGTGTGTGTGTGTGTGTGTGTGTGTGTGTGTGAGAGAGAGACAGAGACAGGCAGACAGAGAGATATGGCCAGAGTTGGCTGGCTATCCTGGAGAATGGATTGAAACGATCTGTATTGGATGTTTGGAGATGAGTTGCGGTATCGGTGACAGATATAATGGAAATGAATAGAAGAGAATGTGTTTGAGAGATACTTAGGTGGTAAGATTGACGGAACTTGGTTTAGAGATGTGTTGGGTACATGGGGTGAGGGAGAAGTTTTCTGGTTTTTGCAGTGGGATGATAGTGCCATGTACTTTAGGAAGAGTTAAGGAGAAAACAAGTCGGGGAGGTCAGGGATATATGGGAATATGAGTTGCCTTTCAGACGTCTAAATGACATGTCCAGTAGGCAGTTGGATAGATTGGTCTTGAACACAGGAGAGTCTGCGATAGAGGTATAATTCTGAGTCATCTCATGTAGGTGAGCTTGCCAAGGAGAGAGTATATTGTGTGAGTCAGGAAGCAGGTCTGCAAACGTGCTTTGAGGACCTCTGACATTGAATAGGGATGTTGGTGGTTTAGTGGTAGAATTCTCACCTTCCATGTGGGAGACCCAGGTTTAATTCCCAGCCAGTGCACCTCATGTGCAGCCACCACCTGTCAGTGGTGGATTGTGTGTTGCTGTGATGCTGAACAGGTTTCAGTGGATCTTCTAGATCTTCTAGACTAAAATGGAAGAAAGGCCTGGTGATCTGCTTCTGAAAATCGGCCACTGAAAACCTTATGGATCACAAGGGTTCTATGCGCTACCGTTCATGGGAATTTGATCGGGCAGTGTTTTGTTCCGTTGTGAGTGGGGTTACCATGAGTTGAGAGCCTACTTGATGGTAGCTAAGGACAACAACATTTAATGGCATAGGAAGAGGGAGACTGAGAAGGAGTTGTTAGACAGGTAGGAAGAAAGCTGGAGAGTGTGCTGTCATACTAGGCCTGTGGTGAGCCCAGACAAATGCTGCTGACAAGTCACAGTGAGGATTCTGCGAAGCCCTGTGCTCTTAGCCACACCACAGTCTGTGGTAACCATGGGAAGGCCTGCTTTGGTGAGAGAGCCAGACTGGCATAGGCTAAAGAGTGAGCGGGCAGTGGGGACAGCTTGTGTACTCTTGTCAGGAGGTTTCGGGAGGGTAGTAGTTGGTAGTTGGAAGTGGGGTCGGGGTGGAGATATTGGAGCAAAGGAAAGTTTCTCCTCCCCGGTTTAGAATTGAGAGAGAGTTGAGCATATTTAAAGATGGATGAGGAGACGTTAAACGTCAATGCAGGAGAGAAAAGGGATAATTTATACTTTGAAGGTTTCTAAGAAAATAGGAAGGGATAGGATCTGGTCTAAGCTTGGCTGTTACTGATGCAGTCTTGGCCTACCTGTGAGATACTGTCCCGTTCATGTGAGTTTGCATATTTCTGATCCATTTTATGTAGATCTTATAGTGTTTCCGATTTTAAGTCCTTCATTTCCATTTCCTGGGGGCAGAGGCTTCTATCTCCCTCAGTACTTATAACAGAGTTCATAATACAACTAAAGTATTTATCGTACTACATGATTGGGATAATGTGCTGGGAGAATTATACAGTATTTTTTTCTTCTTTGACTAAGGTGGAATTTTGTAAAAATTAAGGTAATAGTGATTTTATTATCACGGAAGTTAGGTAACTATTTTATATATCTTTAAATTTATATGGGGTGACTTGATAAGTATTTTAGAATATTTTAGCAAAACAAAACAACTGTCTGTCAGGAGGTCCTTCTTTATGTCATATTTCGACTTTGGTGGTTGTTAGTTGCATCCAGTCCATTCTGACTCATGGCCACCTCCTGTGTGCAGGGTGGAACGGCTTCATAGGGTTTTCAAGGCTGTGACTTTCAGAAGCAGATCACCAGGGCTGTCTTCCTAGGCGCCTTGGGAGGGTTTAAACTGCCAGTCTTCTGGCTAGTAGTCGAGCGCTTAACCACTTGCCTCACCTAGGGGCTCTCATGCTTTCGCATTAACTATGTTTAAAGTTAATTATAGTTCCTATGAGCTCAGACTGCAAGATGATGTTGGCAAAATGGAGGATTTAGGATGATTTTTTTTTCAGTATTTTTAAAATATTCTGTAACAAGCACATAAAAAACAAAAAACCAAACCTGTTGCCATCAAGTTGATTCCGACTCATAGCGACCCTACAGGACAGAGTAGAACTTCCCCGTAGGGTTTCCAAGGAATGGCTGGTGGATTCAAACTGCTGACCTTTTGGTTAGCAGCCAAGCTCTCAACCACTGCACCACCAGGGCTTCAACAAGCACATGGTACTTTTAAAATTAGGAAAATAGGCAATAAAGGTATATAAATTTTGTACATTCCTATGTACTATTATAATTATTTTTAAATGCACAGTAAAAGTACTGGAATAAACTTTACTAAAATGTGACAGGGTTTTTTCCTAGGTGGTAGTGTGGTTGGTAAGGCACCCTGGTTGCACAGTGGTTAAGTGCTCAGCTGCTAACCAAACTGTTGGCGGTTCAAATGCACCAGCCGTTCCACAAGAGAAAGATAGGGCAGTCTCCTTCCTTAAAGATTAAAAACCTGTTGCTGTTGAATCCATTCTGACTCCGCGACCCTATAGGACAGAGTACAACTGCCTTGGAAACCATACTGTCCTATAGGGTGGCTTTGAGCTGGAATCATCTTGATGGCAGTGAGTTTTTTAGAGTATGGTTGGTAGTGATGATGTTGCTCTAGATTTTTCAGTTTCCATTTTTTGCTCAATATTTTTATAATCGATAACATGAAGTTTGATAGACATTTCCGAAATATAAGCATCTTCTGAAAATAATTCAGATCTGAACCTGTGCATTATATTACACTGGGTAGTGAAATGTAGTGATTGCCATTTGAATTTTAAAATTCCTTAGAGTTTTGGTTGTGTGTGTTTGATTTATAATAAACCCTTAAAAAAATTAAACAAAATTTTGAAGCCCTGTGTCATGCCATTTTAGGGGAAGTATTGTCTTTATGTGGGTGTGTTCTAGAGCAGAGATTTTAAGGTACTTAGTCGCCATGTTTAATTTGTCTTCCATGACTCTGCTCAGTGATGTTCTCTGAAAGGAAGTATTCCGGGTGGTAGAGCCTTGTGTGTTATTACTCACACGTATTGAAATGGTTTACCTGATACATTACATGGATTATCTTATATTTTCCTTTAAAATATCACTTTTGGAGCCAAGTTAAGATGACTGTCTTAGCAAAACATGATTTCATTTCACAGTGATCTTCTTGTACCAGTGAGTTTGGCAGTAGATTACGTATGAAAATCTTCTTCATTTGTACATTATGGTTTCTGTGAGAATTTCAGAGCCGAACAGTAAATGGACATACATATAAGGTGAGTTCCATTTCCAGAGTGCCATAGAATTGATACAGTCCCTCCATAGGGCTTTAACGTCTTTAATGTCTTGGATCCTTAGAGTTGAGTGTTGGTTCAAACATCAAGCTAGTCATTTCCCAGCACCTTGTGTAACTGATCATCTCACCATATATCTGTTTCCTTATTGAAGAATCACTGAGCATTAACTAAGGGAGCCCTGGTGGTGCTTGGATGCTAATCGGAAGGTTGACGGTTCAAACCCACCCAGCAGCTCTGCAGGTGAAAGGTCTGGTGATCTACTCCTATAGAGATTACAGCCTAGAAAACCCTATGGGGCCGTTCTGCTCTGTCACATGGGGTTGCTATGAGTCAGAATCGAGTTGAGGGTACCTAACAACAAGCATTTACTGGTAGAATATATTGTAACACTGAATGTCTTGCATTTAAAATGACATGTCCATATGCAATGCAGGTGGAAAATGTGCATCTTAGCTGCTTTGGAGCTTTGATTGGATGAGTTTTGCAGTCATGACCATGATGGGGGGTCTGTCAGAACATGTTAACTGTTCAAATGTGTCTGGTTAAGTTTCTAGGTGCTCTGATGTATACAGCAGGCATAATGGCGTATACTGTTTACATTTTTAAAAAAATTGTCTTTCTCATCTGAGGACTTTAATTTAAAAAAGAACAATATAAATCTGTTGCATTTTGGTTCACATATTAGTGCATTTGACATTTAGATTATACAGTAGAGAGATTGTACCTTTGAGAAATTTGGTCTTACCACTAAATTGGTGTATATCTTGTCAGATATCTTATTTTTGGTGTGTGTGACCGGTAACACTGATGGAAAAAACAAACCACTGAAGTCAGTCTCTCCTACAGGACTCCGGCTCCCCACACAGACACACCCAGTTGAGTGACAGATTTCTGGCATGCCCGAGTAAGAAGAATAGACCATCTTACACATGTGAATAAAGCCCCTTTAAACAATAATTGTAGTCTTTATTGTGACTGTTTCTCAATTTCCATATTTAAACTGCCACATCTGTTTATTACACTGACATTGTGATTTTCACCTAGGATGAGTTTTTCATCGTCTGTTTACTGAGTAAGCTTAGGAAGATTTCACCCAGAGCCCACTGAAGGGCAGCAGAGTTCTCGGGCACCTTTCTCTGGGAGAGGCACAAGTTCCTTCGTTTTAACCCAAACAATTTGAGGAGCAGCCACATTTATGTTTAGTCAACATAATTTTTCTTCTCTTATTTGGTTGGTTTGGGATGTTTTTCATAAACTATCAGCTCATCAATATTGTGTTTTTAGTGGCCTTCCTCTGGAACCATGCCGGGTGCTAGCGATCTCACCAGTACCTGGGTGGCGAGGCATATTCTCTCATGAGAGAAGCTTGATGAGTTCACTAGAATGTCTTTGTGTCTGACAAGCTGACAGCATAATATCCTGGGATAATCTTGTGCAGAAAATCATTTGGAGGCAGGTATCAGTCAACTCAACAACAGGTGTTTGTTCTTCATCCTGTATACCTCTCAACAGCTTGCTCAGTCAAGGGATGATCTGTTAAAGTCAAGATACTCTGAGTTAGGAACTTGAATTTGATAGTGGAAATTGCACTGGTAATGGTGGAGGGGTACGTACATGTACTCACACATCTATGAGTCTCTGTCTTAAGCTAACCCATACTATCCACTGAACTCTCTGAGGACACGGATTGGAACACAGTGGCGTGTCCTAGAGCCTAGCATGTTTTGCACATAGTAAGTGCTTAGCAAATGCTTGGTGAACTGAAATGCAGCCATTAAATAAAATGCAGCCCCGGCTGTTTATGAGTTTCCATCTAGTAGTGGGACGAAAGAGGTAGGATAAGGGAAGCGTGATTAGGGAAGAAGCAAAATACAATGCGAGTTAGAGGCGGAAGCTGTTACTTCAGGTGTTGGGGATCAGAAGGAGGTCATGGGTGAGGAAACAACCTGGGTATGTGGAGACGGAGAAGGGGTGTTCCAAGAAGTGGGAACAGCACCAGAAAAAGAGAGATGGGAGTGGTGTGATGGGAATGTGGAGCATGTTTGACAGAGAAGGGGAAAATAAAGCTGGCTAGCAGATTAGGATCACATGGAAGAAGGCCTTGAAGGCCCGTGTGAAGAATTTGTGTACACTCTGTTGGACAGGCATGGGTCCTGGGGAGGATTTTCCGGCACAGGTGCTGTACTCTAGAAAGATTAAAGTGGAAATACGTACTGTGTTGGATGACTCTGAGGTGGAGAAGCCAATTGGGGAATATTATAATAGCCCAAGAGAGGAGTAGCTCTGTCACTGCTGGAGCGGATGTTTAATAAATGCCTGCTGAACTAGTAAATTGGAAAATCCAAGAAAATAACTTGAAAAACCCAGGAGCTAACCTAGAGTATTTGACTTGCAGTTCAGTGGTGACAGGCCGCATCAGTAGCAGTGTTCAGCTTTGGAACAGAGAAGACTCTGTGCGGCCCACTTGTCCTGGTCCTGGCTCTGTCACACCTGAGCTCTGTGACTTTGGCCAGGTCCCTGCAGCTCTCAGTTTCTTCGTTAAAAAGAAAAAAAAGAAAAAAAAAATTAGTGAGATGCTGAAATCCTTCCAGAGAGTTTCAAATTGAGTCCCATTGAATTTTCATAGTTTTATTTAAAGACACAAGTGAAGGGAATAAATGGGAAAGAGAAGAATGTAGATCATCTGGTGACTGAAAATCACAAGTTACCAAGTAGATAAATTGAGGAATAACTGTTTGAATGGTACAAAAATTTGTCACTTTAGAAATAGGTTCACCACATAGTAACAACCTTATTGTATTAAAGTATTTTGCAGAGTAATAACAGCTCAACAGAGAAGAGGATTAAGGGGTGAAAATTCGAGCTTTAAGGATTAACTCTTATCTGAATAAGAATCCCTGGTGTGGTACAAATAGTTGGTGTACTTGGTTGCTGAGTGAAAGGTTGGCCGTTCAAGTACATTCAGGTGCCTCGGAAGAAAGGCCTGGAGATCTACTTCTGAATGATCACAGCCATTGAAAATCCTATGGAGGGCAGTTCTACTCTGAAACACATGGGGTCACCATAAGTTGGAATTGACTGGATGGCAATTGGTTTTTATTTTAATACCCATCAGAATTGAGGATAAAGATTATTTGAAGTTTTAATACAATTTAAGAAGAAATATAATAATTTCTGTGGTTATATTTGAATCACTAGCAAAACTATTTAGGTGAACATTATTTTGCGTAGTAGACATATTTTCAAAAAATTTATGCCTATAAAATTTTTGAAAATTTAGTACTTAAATTAGTCTTTGGATATTTGAGTAAACTTTTCTGGTGAATACGTTTATAACTAAGCCTGCTACTTGCAGAGAAGCATAATTCAAATGGCTCCCTTACAGTCCTTTAGAATGTTCTTTTTTTCCTATCCTTCCATCCTTGATCTTGTAAGTGACATTACATTGCTCATCTTTAGGAGTCTTTACTGTGTGTGTTTGTGTGTTAAGCTGTCTTTGAGCTGTGGCTACATCCTGTCATTCCTCTAACCTTTGAATTGTCTCTGATCTAGCTGGCAAAAATGCTTTAGAAACCAGTACTGTACTTTGCACTTCATTTGTATTGGCTAAGCTGTCCTTGTTTTGAGTTTTGACATGTGCTCTGACTGCAGAATCCAGTAAAATCATGCTTGTTTTCTTGGCAAAGAAGAAATATCCTAACAACGTCCCACTTCAGGCTCTAGAGTCCCACAGGCTGGGTTAATATCTGGGCTCCACCGCTTACCAGACGTGACCTTACGTGGGTTACCTAACCTCTTCAGGATCCTCTTTTTTCACATTTGTAAAATGAAAATAGTAATACCTATGTTGTGGGTTTGTTGGAAGGATAAATTGGGGGTTTATAAAGTATGTAACACGGTGTCCTGGGGAAAATTATTATGAATTTTCTCCTGTTGAGGAATGGAGCCAACAAAAGATAGGGAGGCAGTGTTGTGGAGAGAATATGACAGTGTAAGAATTCTCTTGACAGATCAGTAATTTAAATAATTGAGTCATCTGGCATGTTTTTATTGGTGTAAATTAGTGTTGATTGTCAGAGGGTAGGGGAAGCGTGTCAGAGTTAAGGAGGAAGATCTGGGTTGGAATCCTGGCTCCATTACTTGCTACTTTACTCTGGGCAAATATTTTTATTTTTATCAGCTTCAGTTTCCTTATCCGTAAAACAAGAATAATAATCGCTACCTTGCAAGACTGTTGTGATGATTAATAGAGGTTGTATAAAAGAACGTAAGAGTGCCTGATACATAATAATCCCTAATCAATGGGAATTACCTCAGTTTTGTAAATAATGACTAGCATCTTCACCTAAGTGCTTAATCTTTGACTGAAACCTTGAACGTTTTAGCCAGTCCTTCATATGAATAGAATTCACTGTGCTTTGGACATAAGATTATGAAACTTTTGTTTGAATGTTTTTAATATATACACCTGTTCTTCACTTATCAACTATCTTGTTATCTGACATTTTGTATTTGCAACAATAGTAAAAAATCTGTCTGGCTATTTTGAACATTAACGATGTACATCTTTCAGAAACCTTTCCATGACTAGTGGAACATATAGTGCCCACTGACATTTTCTACCTATCAAGTCCAGAGGGACATGTGCCCCATATATTTTGTGAACTGATGTGGTCATCCTCCATTTTCACATAATGCTAATTTTCATGTAATGACCTGGTCTTTGGAACCTAACCATGTCGGTAAATGAGGAGTGAGTGTGTATTTATATAATATTTATGTGCTGCTTCTTCATCTGTTTATCCTAATCTCCAGTAAACCCATTGTCATCAAGTCAATTCTGCCTCGTAGTGACCCTATAGGACAGAGTAGAACTGTTCCCCAGGGTTTCCAAGGAGCAGCAGGTGGATTTGAACTGCCGACGTTTTGGTTAGCAGGCAAGCTGTTAACCACAGTACCACCAGGGCTCCAAATATCCA